ATTATCATTTTCATAGTGTTGAGTCTACCTATCCATGAGCGTGGTATGTTTTCCCATTTATGTAGAGCTCTTTTGGTTTCTTGCAGTAGTGTTTTGTAGTTTTCTTTGTATAGGTCTTTTACGTCCCTGGTTAGATTTATTCTTAAGTATTTTATTCTTTTCAGGGGCTATTATAAATGGTATTGTTTTTCTGATTTCTTTTCATCATTCTCTTAATTGGTATATAGAAATCCAACTGATTTTTGTATGTTTATCTTATATCCTGCTACTCTGCTGAATCTTTCTATTAGTTCCAGTAGTTTTTTTGTGGAGTCTTTTGGATTTTCTATGTATAATATCATATAATCTGCAAATAGGGACAGTTTCACTTCTTCATCACCAATTTGGATGCCGCGTATTTCTTTTTCTTGCCTTATTACTCTATCTAGGACTTCCAGCACAATGTTAAATAGAAGTGGTGTTAAAGGGCATCCTTGTCTTGTTCCTGTTCTCAAGGGGGATGTTTTCAGCCTCTTTCCATTAAAAAAATGATGCTGGGTGTTGGTTTTGTATAAATGCTTTTTATAGAATTTCCCTTCTATACCTATTTTATTGAGTGTTTTTATGAGGAACGGGTGTTGGACTTTGTCAAATGCTTTTTCTGTGTCAATTGAGATCATGTGATTCTTTTATTTATGTGGTGGATTACGTTGATTGGTTTTCTACTGTTGAACCATCCTTGCATACCTGGTATGAATCCTCCTTGGTCGTGGTGTATTATTTTTTTGATACGATGCTGAATTCTATTGGCTAGAATTTTGTTGAGAATTTTTGCATCTATATTCATGAGAGATATTGGTCTATAATTTTCTTTTTCTGTGGTATCTTTGCCTGGTTTTGGTGTCAGGGGTATGCTGGCTTCATAGAACGAATACGGAAGTATCCCTTCCTTTTCTATGTTCTGGAATAGTTTGAGTAGTACTGGTGTAAGCTTTTTAAGCTCTTCTCTGAATGTTTGGTAGAATTCTCCAGTGAAACCGTCTGGGCCGGGGCTTTTTTTTGTTGGGAGTTTATTTAATTACCTTTTCAATATCTTCTCTTGTTATGGGTCTGTTCAGATTTTCAACATCACTTTGTGTTAGTTTGGGTAGGTAGTGTGTTTCTAGATATTTATCCATTCCCTCTAGGTTTTCAAATTTGTTGGAGTATAGTTTTTCATAATACTCTGTTATGATCCTTTTTATTTCAGTTGGGTCTGTTGTAATGTCCCCTATTTCATTTCTTATTTGGGGTATTTGCATCCTCTCGTGTCTTTCTTTTGTCAGTTTGGTCAGTGGTTTGTCAATTTTATTGATCCTTTCTAAGAATGAACTTTTGGTTTTGTTGAGTCTTTGTATGGTTTTTGTATTCTCTATTTCATTTATTTCTTCTCTGGTCTTTATTATTTCCTTACTTCTGGTGGCTGTGGGGTTCTTTTGCTGTTCTTTTCTATTTGTTCTAGTTGTGTAGCTAATGTTTCGATTTCGTCCCTTTCTTCTTTTTTGATGTGTGCATGTATTGCTATAAATTGACCTGTGAGCGCTGCCTTTGCCTTTGTGTCCCAAAGGTTTTGGTATGATGTGTTTTCGTTCTCATTTGATTCTAGAATTTTTAGATTACATCTCTGATTTCTTCTATTACCCAGTGGTTTTTAAGCAGGATGTTATTCAGTTTCCATGTAATTGATTTTTTTCTTTGCTCTTCCTGTTAGTAAATTCTACTTTGACGGTGTTGTGATCAGAGAAGACACTTTGTATTATCTCAATGTTTTGGATTTTGTTGAGGGTTACTTTGTGGCCTAAGATGGGGTATATTCTGGAGAACGTTCCCTGTGTGTTGGAAAAGAATGTGTATTTTGCAGCTGTTGGTTGGAGTGTTCTACATAAGTCTGTGAGGTCAAGTTGGCTGATTGTGGTGTTTAGATCTTCTGTATCTTTGTTGAATTTCTTTCTAGATGTTCTGTCCTTTATGGAGAGTAGTGCGTTGAAGTCTCCTGCTATTATTGTGGAACTGTCAATGTCTCTTTTCAGTGCTGTTAAAGTTTGTTTTATGTATTTTGGAGCCCTGTCATTGAGTGCATAAATACTTATTATGGTTATATCTTCATGGTGGATCGTCCCTTTAGTCTCTTACGGTGGATTTTATTTTAAAGTCTATTTTATCTGAGATTAATATTGCCACTCGTGCTGTTTTTTGGTAGCTGTTTGATAGCGTAGTTCTTTAGTAGCATTATGCCTGTGTGTGATATTCAACTCTTGGTCCCAAATTCTACTTTCTTCAGGTGTAGCTCAGGACCCGCATCAAGCTTTAGCTCTTCGCTTTACGCCAGTGCCCACACTGATGCTTGAATTTCTGGAACACGTTTACATTCCACATTCATCATTCAATTGCATACCACTCAAAATTTTGTCTTTCTCTCTAATGTGGCTTAAGACTGTAGTTTTTGTTTTGCGTCAGATAAGCCTAGTTTTAGGGAAAGTCCTTGATTTTTTTTTCTCTCTTCTGTGATGAAAGGGATAGAAAGAAAGACTATCTAAACAGAGCTAAGGCTGGACCTAGACACATGGGTATCTCCAGACTAATAATTTGGTACCGTTTCAAAAGGAAATTATAAACATTTATTTTAGATGGTTAGTGAAAAAGAGGAAGACCCCCAACGAGATGGATTGATACAGTGGCTGCAACAATGAACTCAAGTATAACAACGATCGTGAGGATGGTGCAGGACTGGGCATTATTTCCTTCTGGTGTGCATAGGGTCACTATGAGTCAGAACCAACTCAACAGCACCTAACAACAACAACAACAAACATTTATTCAACATTTATTTAAAGGGACAGGGAGACTCTCATTTCCTATTAATAAAAATGTATATAGAAATAGGTTCATTTATTAATTCACTCTGCTGCCCAAAGCAGACAAGAGTTTCCTGCTTTCCTATAGCTCTCTCCTGTTATTTTGTGATCATCCAAACCAAACAACCTCTTGGCAAGCTTATTGAAGATCTGTGTAATGAAGGAAATTCCTCAATCCTGTGAACAGCATTGTGCCGTGCAACTTTTGGTCTCAGAGTTTCAGCTGATAACTACCGCTGTCTTTTGGCTGAGTGCAGCTGCTGGTGTACGTTGTGAAATCATTCAGTAGAGGCAGGCCCATGCTAGTGAGTACTCTCTTTACGTTTTCACTTGAAGCACTGACAGCTTCAGCTGAATTTGGGTCAATTCATATTTCTGTAGTTATATAAAAAGTCACTTGAGAAAACCTGGCTCTGAAAGCACACCCTTCCTAATTTATCCCATGTATGTTTCAGTGCCCCCATGTCAGTGCTTCTGGTAGAGGACTGGTTCACCTATCTTTCCGTCAGACTCTGCACCCACCATTTAGCAACTCTTCTTCCCTGTGACTATCCTTTTCCGAAAAGCATTCACTCTGGCTGCTATATCCTAAATTTAATTTGCCTTTATTTGCCATTTATTTTTTATTTTACTTTCTTTGTTATCAATTTCTGATAGATGAAAAGAAAAGTATTATGAAAAGCCTAAGTTTAGGAATCAGATGTGGCAGGAAATTCTGAATTTGCCATTCCCTATCCCTACAAACTTCAGCAAACCATTTAGCCCCCTGACCTCAGCTTTTATCATCTGTAAGTTTGAGATAATAATGTCTGCTTTACAGAGTTGTTAGAAAGATTAGTAACACCTTATCTCCCCTATTAAAACAAAAACAAAAACAAAACCCATTGCTGTTGAGTCAATTCTGGCTCAGAGCAATGCTATAGGACAGAGTAGAACTGCCCCATAGAGTTTTCAAGGCTGTAAATCTTTACGGAGCCTACTGCCACATCTTTCCCCATGAAAGAGCTAGTGGGCTTGGACCACTGGCCTTTTGGTTAACAGCCAAGTGCTTAACCACTGCACCACCAGGGCCCTTGATATTCTTGATACTCTCCCTGATATGTAAATGATAGCTAATTTTATTGCTAGCGTGCTCTGAATTTTTACTTCAGCCTTCGACATGCAGTAAATTATATAAGGGGGCTTGAAGTTATTAAAAGCTCAAATAATTAAAATTGTCAGTCATCATTTATCCATTTATATAGATGGATGGATATCCAGCTAGCTAGAGAGATAGTTATTGTAAGTATTTTCTCATAGTCTGTGGCTTGCCTTTTCATTGCCTTAACATTGTCTTTTTATAAGAAGGTTTTAATTCTAACAAAGTCCAATTTATCAACTTTTTTCCTGTCACAATCAGTGCTTTTTTCTGTCCTGTCTAAAAATCTTTTCTTTCCCCAAGGTTACAAAAGCATTCCACATTTTTGTCTAGAAGTTTTATGGTTTTAGCTTTCACATTTACATTTATGACCCACCTCAAATTAAATTTTGAGTTGGAGATCAAGGTTCATTTTTTAAATATGATATCCAATCGTTCCAGCATGACTTCTGGAAAGGAATTTCCTCGCTCTTTGAATTGCATTGGTGACGTAAAAAAGAAAACCTATTGACCATATACTTCTGAGTCTATTTCTAGACTTTTTATTTGGTTCTATGGGTCTACGTTATTGTTGTTAGTTGCCATTGAGTCGATTCTGATCTGGTTCCAGCAAGGCTGGCTCTTGGGCTTTGTTGAGGCTGGTCTCCGATTTCTTTTCTATAGGGTTACAGTACCCCTAATCCATGGCATATCCTTTCTGAGGTTTCAGCTGAATGCAACTGAATACAGCACGCTGTCTCCACTCGGACTGATGGAAACTCCAACATGTATCAGGATTAAACTATCTCCAGAATCTCCAATCAGCTCACCACCCTTTAGTAACTATTATCTCAGATCTTGTAGCATGTCATATGCACAGCTTAGTCTTCAAGTGGAAGACGTATGTATATAAACTCTGGATAGATAATATCTATTATATTTGTATTTATATTTATGTCGTTGTTAGGTGCTGTCAAGTTGGTTCTGACTCATAGTGACCCTATGATGTGCCATCCTCGAAATCATTGTTATGCTTGAGCCCATTGTTGCAGCCACTGTGTAAGTACCTTCCAACCTGAGGGGCCCATCCTCCGACATTCTATCAGACAATGTTCCCCTGCTATTCATAAAGTTTTCACTGGCTAATTTGTTTCAGAAGTAGACCGCCAGGTCTTACTTCCTAGTCTGTCTTAGTCTGGAAGCTCAGCTGAAACCTGTCCACCATGGGTGACCCTACTGATATTGGAATACCAGTAACAAAGCTTCCAGCATCACAGCAACATGCAAGCCCCCACAGTATGACAAACTGACAAATGCATGGGGGATTTATATATATATATGTATTTTTTTTTTCCTGGAGTTTTACTCTGTGCAACTCTCTCATTTCTTGTAATCTACCCTGTAAATCCCACTTCCCTAGAAGCTCTGAAGTTTGATCTCTCTTTTGCCCAAATAGATTGCTGCTCTATTTAAGAATTTATCGAACAATTCCTGGGTTAGTTTGAATGGACATGGTAGATGTTTATACTTTTTTGAAAAAGCAGATCAGAGCATTTGCAGTAATAGGAAAGCTGAGGAAACAAAGCTCTGACATTATACTGGTTAGTGAGGGTTGAGAAATGCACACCCCTGGCAAGTGCAGCTCTGGATGGCATTCCAGGGAAAGACTGTCAGACCAACTCACTGAAGGTTTATAAATATAAACCCTGATCTATATTTAACCACTTTTCTCTGATTATTTGCTCCCCTCTATTCCAGTGGTCTGAAATCCTGGGAAGCATGTTTTCATAACTGGTTGGAAATGAGAGATTAGGTGGGTTAGATCAAACACCTCTTCCCTGTGATCAAGGGAAGGAAACCAAGACCTTTTCAAAACACACTCACTAGATCAGGCATACAGTTTGGGGCTTGTTGTAGGTGGAGAGCACAGCACTCCTTTACAGACTCCATTATGTCCACTCAGAGCCTTGCAGAAATTTAGGACAGAAATAGAAGGGGGAGAAAAAAAACAAGATAGACAAGGAGGGTTACAGAATCTCAATAATTTCTGCAAGTAACTATAACCCACCTGGAGTCAACATCCAACATTGCCTTGTATATATAGTTACCGCAAAGTCTAAAAAAGAAACATGGGCAGAATTTCTTACAACCAACATCAAAGAGAAGAAATATTCATGGAGAACACATGAAGAAAACGTATGCATCATTTGAGCAAGTCATTACACTTCTCTTTTTTATATATAATTTTAAGAGCACTGGATTCTTTATTTTGTTGACAACGAAAGCTACAGGGAAGAGAGAGACTATGAACTGGGGCTTGAAGGATGAGTAGAATTTGATAGTTAAACAGAAAGGATATTCCAGGCAAGAAAGAGCATCCCTTTCAAGAGCCTCTTCCTTTTCTTCAGAGAGGGGTAATGTTTTTTCCTCTGGGCTTCTGCTGTACTGTGTATTTATTTCTGACATCGGGGTTTATTTGTTTACGTATGTCTGCACCCCACCCAGAGTCTAACGCTGAAACAGGCAAAGGTCAGTCACTGAACACTTGATAAATGAGGAAGAATCTTGGAAGGGTGAAAGGGAAGAGTGTGCTCGGTGGAGGGTAAATCTTTGACAAAGTGCTAGTGTATTGCTTTGACACAGTGCTAGGTGGTATATAGGCTGTAATTAAATATTTAAAGAAGATCAAAAAGCTCGTGTTCTATGTGTGAAGATATGTTTACACATATGAAACAATGCCACATGCAATACCCTAGGTAGAATTGCCCTCCAACTATAGGCACAATGGGAATTGGGAAAGGGGTGAATGGATTTGGGGAAATTGGAGAAGGTGGGCTGCCAGATAGGCCCTGAACAGTCAGTAAGATTTGTGTGGGGAGCGGGAGGAAGAAAGACCTCCAGGAAGGGTGAATACAAGTAAAAGTAAAGAAGTATAGGGAGCATTTAGGGGATAGGTGGGAGTACAGATTGTTGGATGAAATGAGCCGTGCCAGGGAAGGAAAAGGAATCAGGTGGGACAGATGGAGTATTTCCAAACAGTAGAGACCATAAAAGTCAGGCAAAAGCGTTTGTACATAATTAAGTGTAGTGAAGCATAAAATTCTGGAGGAGGAAAGGGACGCGATGACGGTGATGGTTAAGAAAATCTAGTATCAATCCATCAGTAAAAGCCATGAGATTCTGAGTAACTTGATGGCAGCTACAGAGTCTTGCTCATTATGGTATTTATTCTGTGACTAGCAAATGTCTGAGGCATAGAACATTCTTATTAAACATTCTTAATAAAGTTTTAAGTTATCCTCCTGTCTTTAATTTCCCCATTGGTTGAACAGGAATAAGGAAATTATAATATAAATTCAGGCATAAAGTGATGACAGTGGTCAATATGGCAAATCTCAGTGTCTTAGGCTGGGTTCTCTAGAGAAGCAAAACCAGTAAAGCGTATAAATATATATAGAGAGAGATTTATATCAAAGAAACAGCTCATGTGATTGTAGAGGCTAGAACAGCCCAAGTCTGTGGATCAGGGTAGAGGCCTCTCCCAATTCACGCAGCTGCAGAAGCTGGCAAACCCAAGATTGGCAGGTGGGGGAGCAGGACTCTTGCTCACAGGCTGTGAAGATCCCCAGATCCTAAGATCGACAGGTAAGTTGCTAGCTCGAGTCCCAAGAGCCAGAAGTGAGACAACAAAAGGCAGCTGCTGGGTCTGGAACAAGCCAAAAACCTTGGCGAGGTGAGCAGGAAGGTAGTAGCTGGCAGAGGGTGGAGAGATGAAGGCTGAGGGGGCAATGAGCCGCCACAGGCTCCGCCCCCACTGGTACCACTCAGCAGATTCCATCATGGGGGTGATCACGTATCAAATTTCAACAGGGAAGTGATCACAAAATTATACAACTGCCAAAACACTGAGAATCATGGCCTAGTCAAGTTGACATACAATCTTAACCATCACACTCAGTGATATTTTGAAAGAAGAAATAACAGCTCATATGGAGCCCTGGTGGAGCCTTGGTGGCACAGTGGTTAAAAGCTTGGCTGCTAACCGAAAGGTCAGCAGTTAGAATCCACCAGCCACTCCTTGGAAACCCTATGGGACAGTTCTACTCTGGAGCTTGGCTGCTAACCAAATGTTGGCAGTTCGAATCTACCAACCACTCCTTGGAAACCCTATGAGGCAGTTCCACTCTGTCCTATAGGGTCGCTATGAACTGGAATTGACTCAACAGCAACAGGTTTATTGACAGATTGGAAATGGGGGATGAAGAGTCTCAAAATGATGCTTGGATTTCTGAGTAAATGATGGCAGCCCTTTATGAAATGGGAGTAGTCAGGGGGGATCTTCATTTAAGATTTTGGGAAGATGAAGAGTTTGAGTGATAAAAATTAGGAAACAGACATCTAAATTGAAAATTCCTTACGGGCATTTGGAAATTTGAAACTCTAGTACAAGTGAGAAGTCAACACTGAAGATCGTTTCTATGAGTGAGGATAGGAAAAAGAGAAAGAAGGAGTAAAGAGGGGATTTAGGGGTAAAGTAGGCTAAGTAGGCTTCTAAGAATGTTGGAGAGTAAATGTTAAAGCCCAGAAATACTGGTCACAGAACAAATATGAGTAGAGTCCTCACTGGAAAAATATTTCTGGGTATCTAGCTGATCTGCCATTGTGAAGGTTTAATGGCATATGTAGACTGTGTCCTACATGAGTTGGTGTGATAATGGAAGCTGTAAAGGAAATGTGTTGATAGTGGTCAGCTGGACTTTCCTTCTTTGAGTTTCTGCAAAAACAGACATTTATTACAAATGGAAAGCTTAGTGGCAGCTTCCTATTTGTCATAAATGTATCATGGAGTTTATTATGTAATTTATTCCATTGAAAAGAGACTTAGCATTTCCTCCTTGCTCAGATGTGTCTGTTAAGACTTTTGTCTGAAGCCCACTCATTTTGTGTGGTAATATATGTACATAACAGCAGAACGGAGCTTTCTAGACAAAACATTGGAATGTTTTGTGTCACACCTGCCCTCATGTTGTTTGCTAATTTCCTTGGATTCCTTAGTCATGCCTCCAAAACAATGCTTTGCACTTGTTTGGAATGTTCCTGGTGGTAGAGAAGATTGATAGCTTTGTTTCCTCTCAAAAAACATGTAGCAATTCCAGAAATCTTAATTTCCAACATACCATAGTGTTCCTCATCTGGCCTTTCAAATAAAAGATACCACAAATGATCTTACACAATTTTTGGCTGTAGGGAAATGATCAAAATGGGAATTAACCTCCACTTCAGAGACAAATGGGTATTTATATATGTTATAGGTTAGTTGTTAGCTGCCCTGGAGTTGGCTTCTGGCTCATGGCCACCCATGTGTTAGAGTAGAACTGCCTCGGGGGTGTCTTGGGTGTAATCTTTACAGAAGTGAATTGCCAGGCCTTACTTGCTTGGAGCCTCTGGGTGACTTCGAACTGCCAACCTTTAGGTGAGCCACCAATCACTAACTGCTCACACCACCCGTATAGACATGGCTTTCAAACATTTCTGAGCGTGACTCGTAGTAAGAAATACATTTTATAACATGAGCCAACTCTGTGCACATGTACATGTTCAGTGTGCACACATGCACACACACACACACACAACTTGAAGAAACAATATTTATCTTTGCTACCGGGGGAATCCACTCTAGTCCGACCTATCCTATCCTATCCTATCTTGTCCTGTCCTGTCCTGTCCTCTCCTATCCTATCCTATCCATCACGATATGCTAAGATGATTTTATATCTGTAGGTCGAAAAGCATTGCTAAACAATTTATGGCTCAATAGGAAAAAATTCACATTTCTGAGCCTGGAAATGTGCTATACTTTTTCATCCTAGGGAGCCCTTTATAGGTCATCCTTCTGTCTCCTCTTCGCAATCAGCCATTAGCTTTATTCAAAGGCTTGACTGCAGGTGGTTTCATTCCCAAGCACACCGTCAAGAAGGAACTCTTACTGCCAGGGTTTCTTATAACAATCACTACCTGTCCCACTGCCATAGTAAGTGAAGGAGTGACTGTACTCATCTATCCTGTACAACCATTGTCACACATCACAGAACAATGTTCCCCATAAAGACTGTATCAAATGATGGCCTGGTGTTTGTTTTGCCAACCTCTTAGTCAAATAGCTCTGATGACTCAGGAGGCAAAAGGATCTAAGAAAGACAGGACAGAGAGCAGTGGTGACCCCAGAATTTCTATTAGCAAAAGCTTAAAGGCAGCCGCCTGGTTGCAAGTTGCCTAGGGGACTTGTCCTAAACTATCTGTGTATCACCATATTACATGTTTATCTGAGAAGGCCTTTTGTGATGTGACGGTAGGAGGTTAAGTTCTTTCAAGACGCACTGTGGAAGAGGCAGGAAACGAAGTGAATTCATTGTGGAGAAATTCGTCTGGACTTAGACTATTTTAATAGAAATGCTTTTCAGAACCACCACATGATTAACAACATGTTGGCAAAAAAGTTTCTCAGGGATTGTGTGTGTGTGCGTGTGTGTGATTGCATAAGACTGGTATAAATAGATTTAAGATTTTCATGAAAACGCTTATTTCTAAATCCCATTCTCAAAAGAAAATGGACCCAGAAATTCCACTCCAAAGTATATACCCATGAGAATTGAAAACATATGTTCACACAAAAAATTGTACACTAATGTTCCTAGCAACATTGTTCATAATAGCCAAAAAGTGGAAAGAAACCAAATGTTCATCAGCTGATGAAAAGATAAGCAACATGTGATATCTACATACAATGGAATGAAAGGAATGAACTACTGATACGTGCTACAACATGGATAAACTTTGATAGCATTATGCTAAGTGAAAGAAGACAGACACGAACAGCCACATATTATATGATTCCATTTATATGAAATGTCCAGAATATGTGCATCCATAGAGACAGAGTGTAGATTAGTGGTTGCCAGCGGGTAGAGCAAGGAGGGAGTTGGGACTAACTGCTAATAGGTTTTTTAGGGAAGTGATGGAAATGTTCTGGGATCAGATAGCAGTGATGGTTGCTCAACCTTGTGGATATAGTATACTACAAACTACCAAAGTACATTTTGAAACGGCAAATTTTACTTTACGTGAAGTGTATCTCAGTAAATAAAGAGAGTGAGCAGGTACATTCTAGCTTATCTACCTTTGGTATTATCACAATGGTTGTACATCAGAGTTGAATACAAACGTGGAAATTAAAAAAAGAAAACAAAGTTTGTACTTGGGTATAGAGGACCAGTGATTTTACCTATCATGGTAACCCCAGTTGAGAAGGCTACTGGTTCTGGAACCTAAAAACTACATGGTTCTCATCCTACATCTGTTGACCACTTTCTCTTTGACCTGGGCACGTCACTTGACTCAGTTAACAGTGCACACCTACTATGTGTGAGGCATTGTTCTGGACACAGAAAGGAGCTACAGAGATGAGTAAGGCATAGTCTATGGTATCAAACTACTTACTCTGCAGATCTAATTTCTCAAAGTTTGCTGCATGGAACACTACTTTGGGAGTTACTTCACAAAGAAGAGTTTGATGTCGAAATTTGTTTAGAAAATTCCTGTATTCAAGAGTCTCCTTTTTGAGGCTGACAATTCTCGTTAGCATGAGAAAGGTACCAAAAAGACCAGTAGGAAAGAAGAACCATGCTTAACTCAGAACCCCCTGCGTATTACTCTTATAACAGCCGAGAGCCAATGACCTGCAGATTACACTAAGAAAAGTTGTTCTAGATCAGTGCTGTACAACAGAACTTTCTATGATGTTGGAAACGTTCTATATCTACTGCGCAATGTGGTAGCTGCTAGCCAATGCTTGTGGCTTTTGCAATTGAGGAATTTAATTTTTGACTTTATTAATTTTAATTAATTTTATGGTAGCCACATGCCTACTGGCTACTATATTGGGCAGTACAGCTCTAGATCATTAAACATAAATCTGTTCAAAAGTATTTCAACGGAAATTTAAATTTTACAATATACTGCACTGATAGAGGAGCCCTGGTGGTGCAGTGGTTAAGAGCTCCGCTGCTAACCAAAAGATCAGCAGTTCAAATCCACCAGCTGCTCCTTGGAAACTCTGTGGGGCAGTTCTACTCTGTCCTACAGGGTCACTATGAAACGGAGTTGACTCAACAGCAACAGGTTTGGTTTTGGCACCGATAGAAAAGTGACAGACCCTTTAGGAGGTTTTGAGACAGTTGGCAATATTCCATTTACACCATTATTTTCGAAAGTGTTATCATCTAAAAATGTTAACTTTGTAGATTAACTAATCCTTTAAATTCAGATTGGAGTCCCTGGATGGTGCAAATGGTAGCGTTCGGCTGCTAACTGAAATATCGGAGGTTTGAGTCCACACAGAGGCACCTTCCAAAAAAATCAGTCATTGAAAATACTATGGAGTGCAGTTCTCCTCTGACACACAGGGGGTCGCCATGGGTGGGAAGGAGTCAAAGGCAATTGGCCAAAAAAAGAATTCAGATTAGGACCACACTTTAATCTCCACATTTAGATCCATCTCAACATTCTCCAACTCTGAGGAAGAAGTGCATCTGCACCGCTCTGGGCAGATAGTCCATTCTGTCCCAAAGCCGTCAGAGCATGATTCAAACGCAGCAACGCAGATGACACTGTCTCCGAGATGAACTTCTCACCTGGCGACTGAGGATCCTCCAACTCACAGTCAGATCTCGTCAGGCAAAAGACGTCGTTAAAAGGCTTGATGTAATTCTAAACCATTCATTATCAAAGATTTCATTCTTTCCTCAAAAGGTAATGCTTTGTTTTGTCTTTGAAAACATGCCCATTTTATTTTTAGGGCTGTGGATAGCATTATTGCTATTAAATATTTCTAGGTTAGATGGAATTGGTAGTATTCCCAAGACGGCTTTAAAAATGGCACTTTTTATTTCTTTATTCCTCTTCTTATGATGTTTGGCTTTTGATGTCTTCAGAGGGCTTGCGAATGCCTCCCAAGTTTCACACACTGGCTCATTTTCAACTTCTCCTGCAGACGTCCCGTCCCGAGCCCATGATGCCTGCCTCCACAGGCTTCGTGCTTTTGTGGCTCCGGCTTCTCTTCCTGCTCACAGAGCCTTTCTGTCTGTTCTGCAGATGGAAATGCCCTGAAAGGAGCATCATCCCCAGAAAGAGAAGAGTTGAGTCTCTAGCCCTGGTAATTAATGGCTAAAACTTCCATTTCTTCCACTGAAAGTGCCTCACGAAGAGTTGGTTGTATGACAGAGAAGCTGAGTTAGGTATTTTTATGAGTCAGTCATCTTGAATCGCCTTGGGAGGGGAGTAGCAGATTTTTTCTATCCATAAATGTATAGAAATTGTTATTAATAGAAATAGATACAAACCTGCAGCCCTAAGTGAAGAAATTCTCTGGAAGCCTATGTACTTATGAGAAACCATTTTATTTACTTTGTGGTTCAGGTCGAGAAGGTCAGATTAACTTCAAAAATAACAGTAACCCACACCAGGGTGAATCACAGTTTATGCTAGGCAACCCCACATGGGAAAGCTGGGCTTGTCTTCACCAGTTTTAGCTGGTTAGACCCTACTATACTCATAACAAGTAGACTGTTTCATTGCCTTAATCCTTGGGTTGGATCATATAATAGATCCATATTTGAACCCAATCAGATATTATTGCAGATTACCATAGCAAACTGTACTTCCCTTTTCCTCTCAAGTAAGAATATGGTTTTTATCCCACAGATTAAAATCTTGGTGATGTTAGTGGTGGGAGGAGACAGCAAAAACGAAACAATGCAGTTTGGTTTGAGAGTCTGAGGGTTTGCACTCATAAGCTTAATACAAATAAAATCAGGTCTCAGTCCATAAACTACTTGTATAAACTGGATGATGGAAGGGAAGATGGTGAATATTGTATAAGCTCTGATAAATGTTTGGTTTTTATTTGTATAAGTCTTTGCCTAAGAAAGTAGCCTTTGAGGAGAGGAAAACATGAATTTCAAGGGGCCACTGAAAACAATAACCCTTTCTTACCAGCATTTTCCCAAACCCTTGACAATCTTTTATGTAGCAGTTCTTATGGAAGCTACAGATGATCAGGATTGTTTCTTATCCCCCTATAAACTGAAAAAAAAACCCATTTTAGCCTGACTCCATAATCCAAATGACCAGTAATTTGATCTGTCTTTCTCTGATAGTACAATCCAAGGACTAGTGTTTGTTGACACCATTCCTAAAACATTAAGTGTACTGCTCAAATCCCTCAGCAGCAGCCTGTTAAAGACTGTGAATTTATCTCAACCTTTTATATTAACATCATTCTACTTGTTAGACTATTCTGCTTACAAAGGTAATAATTTCATATGTGTATTTCTTACTGTATGATCAATTAATCATTCACTACTCATTCATCCATCCAGTTAGAAGGCAATTGCAATAGTACATTGAAAGACCTTGGTGGCTTAATCTAGACTGGTGGCCATGGAGATGGAGAGAAGTGTTGGGTTGTAAACACATTTCGGAGGCTGAATTTGCAGTATTTGTTGATGACTTTCAGGTTTCTGACTTGGGTAACTGAGTAAATGGTGCCATTTATAGAACTAGGACTCTGGAATAGAAATAGGTCTGGGATAAATGATGAGGAGTTCATTTTTGAACATGTGTTGTGTGTATTACCTTTGAAATAGCTCAGTGGAGATGTCCAGTGGACCACTGCCTTTCCAATGTCTTTGGCCATGATCCAGAGTAAGAAATATATTTAACGTTATGATTCCAACTCCCACACAAATGAAAATAATGTTTCATGAAATATTTTACCTAGGTGTGAGGCACTTTAATATTTTCTTTTCTAGTCTATATTTTATTTTTTAAATGTTTGTCTCCACTCACTAAACTGATTTCAAATCCACAAATAGGTTGTGTCCCACAGTTGGAAAAACACTGCAGGACATATTTTTACATACATGGCTATATATGCGAGACATGTCTGGGCTGGAGAAATAGATGTAGATCAGACATCAGCATACAGATGGTCAGTGGAGCCATGGAGTGGATGGCATGACCTAGGAAGAGAGAATAAGTCAGAAGGCTAGAGGTCAAGGACATAATTTTGAAATACAAGAAAATGGCATAGAAGACCAGGAGAGTACCTACTACAGAAGTCAAGAGAAGACATTGATCCGACAAAGAAATACGTAAAGCACAGTTCAGTGCTGGTAGGAGGTCAAAGTAATCTTTGAAAAGTTCCCATTAGATTCAGGGATATGTAGATCTTTGGTCACATTTGTGAAAGAAATCTCAGGGTAGGAAGGGGGAGCAGAAAGTGAAGAAATAGAAAGTGCCTTCAAGACGTTTGCCTCTGAAATAAAAATTGAGATCAGTGGGAAGTAGAGAAGAAAATCACTAGTGGGATAGAAAACATGCTGCACTTCTTGTCATAAAACACTCTCTGTCAAGGTCAGGGCTGTTAAATGGGGCTAACTCTAGGGTTACAGAATTAAATGAGGCATATTTGCCTTCTGTGAGTTCTCGCGTATGGTCATGCAGTCTTTCATTCTGTGTTTTTTTGTGTATGAGTGTGTGTGTGTGTGTGTGTGTGTGTGTGTGTGTACATCAGCAAAGTTTCTAAATTGACCCTTAGTCAGAAGCCCCAAAGTATCCCTGGGATGGGTTTGTTGTGTGCCGTTGAGTCGATTCCGACTCATAGCGACCCTGCAGGACAGAGTAGAACTGCCCCGTAGGGTTTTCCAAGGAGTGCCTGGTGGATTCGAACTGCCAACCTTTTGGTTAGCAGCCGGACCTCTTAAACACTTTGCCACCAGGGCTCTGGGATAGCTTTAGCTCTCACAAAATACTGATGCTTTTGCTAGAGAATGCCCTATTATCAGGGATAGATTACCCAATAAGCAAGGTATGCACAGGCTTACTTGTGCTTACTTACTAACCTGTCGTGCACGATTTCACTTGAAAAACAGGTGAAATTGTACACTACAGATTAGTAAGTAAACACAATTAAGTACATGCATACCTTGCTTACTATAAGCCCATGCCTACCTTGCTTACTGGCTAATCCACCCCTGCCTATTATAATGCCCTGTTATGAGACATATAATACCATCAAGGGCTGTCAGTCTTCCTTCTGGCAGAATGCAAAGTATGGGCTGTAGACCTTGTTTCTTTCAGCAGCATTAAAGTCATTCAAGGCTTTATTTGAACGTGCCTGGGGTTTCAGCTTCAGTTGGTAGACAGTAAGAGAGTGATTATATTTCAGTTCCAATATCAGTCCAGTTATCAACTATGTCAAGACATAATTGTCTCCTATTTGAGTTACCGCCAACGATTAGTAATCACCTACAATCTTCTTGACATTTCTGTCAAAAATATCCTATGGCTTCTAAATTGAAACCTGACTACCTTTAGAAACATAGGAAAAGGAGATAATGTAATAAGGTCTCAGTGGAAAGATGGTCTGCTTTAGAATTCAATTTCTCAACCAGCTGGGCTGAGTACATATGTTAAACCATTCTCTCCCACTGGCCTTTGGTTAATGATGGAGTGTTTATAAACCACTCTGGGAGTTAAGGAGAGCTATATTGACCCCAGGAGCTCCGGCTTCTAACCAAAAGGGCAGCAGTTTGAATCCACCAGCCACTCCTTGGAAACACTATGGGGCAGTTCTACTCTGTCCAGTAGGGTCAGTATGGGTCAGAATCGACTCAACAGCAACGGGTATATTGATTCCAAACTGTAAGTTATTACAAATTATGATCTTTATATCGCTTAATTAATTAATAGACTGTAAGAGATTTAAGAGAAGTAGGTGTTTGCTGCTATTGAAAGTAAACTCTGATACATTTCTTCTCTTCCAGTTATCTCAAAATATCCACACACCTTTTTTTATGGAAAGACATGCTACACACAAATATGATATAACCCATCAAACAAATGATCTAGTGACTCAGCTTCTTAGCTTTTCCTGCAAATCAAAGGTTCTTCTTTTCTGAGACTGGGAAGCTACAGGTAGTACATGCTCAGAAATGCGCCATCTACCGGTCAGTCTCGGGAATACACTAGCTATTCTACTTCCCCTGATATCACTAAGTCACGACGCAAGACAACCCAAGTTGAGCAAAGCTTGGCCATGGAGCTCAGAAGCTCAAAATAGTGGGTCCTTGCTGATGGTGAAGGGACAATCAAAAAGCAGTCTATTCAGAGAGAGAGACCAAGTTTGAGCAGGGGAGTAGGATTAGAACTCAAATTCCCAGAGACTCAGCCTGTGTTTGTCCTTCCCTTGCCAACCTAGAAACAAGGCAGTATGTTGCGATTGCTTTAAAAAATGTGGTTGAAGAGTGCTGTGTGTGTTGTGCATTACCAGACTTCGTAGGCTGTGGCATTCTGAGGCAGTGAAACCAGTAAATGGAGTGGCTTCAGGGGTCAGCTGACCTTTTTCTCAATGCCCCCTAGTTGAGTCAGTGGTACTCTCCTTTCTAATTCATTCCTACAGGTGAAAATATGTGACTCTTTCCCTTTCAGACAGTCACAGAGAGTTGACTTGCCACGGTGAGCAGTTGCCAGATAGGACAATGGAATTTGTCTCATTCCTGTGATGACTTTAGACGCCAGCCGTCTTGGCCAAGGGTAAAGTGCTGTAAGTTACTGGCACTGTGGCCGCGTTTCCCCAGCATCCTTCTGTCCCTTTGACAGCCACCCTCCTGGGCTGTGATCAGGCTGAGTTAGTTATCGGGATGTCATCTGCATTGTCAGCATTCCTTCCAATCTGTAGCCCCTGTTCA